AATCGGTCTATTGCTGAATGCGAGTAAGCCGCCAAAGTGCTCGACGCCAGCAATTCAGGTATGGTGGTACGCGAGGCACTGCTCGAAGCCCTTTCGGGTGGCCCAGGTTTGATGCAGACATCAGAGCCACTGAAGCTGAGCGCGAGATTTGCCAACAATATCAATGACAATAGAAGACCAGTCAGGCGTTGATACATCTGCAATAGATCAACGCCCGCCTCAACGATCGACTCATGAGGAAGCATCCACACCGACTTCGTCGGACCATCGTCGGACCGTCGTCAACGTTTACTTACAGGCACACCAGACGCACTTCGCGGTGTGCAGCTTTATCATCGTCACACGTTTGCGACATCTGCAGTGACAACAACTATTTTATATGACGAAGGGAAATTATTTAGCTTTTTTTAACAAAAATAAAAACACAGCAAGAACGCTATATTGTCAGAGATGGAAAATAGTACACCAATGTTAACCTGAAAACAAATGTTTAATGACGCGAGCTTGTGCTATACAAACTTCAACGGAAAATAGCTGTACATTGTGCGACGGCGACGAAAGAGCGATTGTCTCGAAGCAACGCGTTACCGCTGCTTTTGTACGCGTGGCATGTAACCACGTACACGGGCACCATGGCGATTTCACCATAGATTGCAAACCAGAACGAGAGCGAACATCAATTCTGCGTCAAAAGCTAAAACAGAGACCTTTGAAATGATTCGGCAGGCTCGTGTCAAAAAGCAGCTAATTTCGGGAAGTGTTTTAGGTGGCACTCGCACTTCAGGAACGGCAGAACATCGCTGGAAGACAAAGAGCGGTATGACGAAACTATCCGACCTCCCCTTGATTTCAGTGACGTTCTGCCATTCTTGAGGCGCGAGTGCCACTCAAGACACCTCGCACACCTCACTGCTTTTTGACATAAGCCTTTCTAACTCATTCAAAAGGTCTGTTTTAGATTTGCCGAGTTTGACGGAAAATTGGTGTTCGCTCTCGCTTTGGTTTGCTGTCTGTGGAAAGATCGCCATTGTGCTCGTGCATGCGGTCAAACAAACTCGTATAGCGCAGTTTCAAACACTCACAGAGTGAGGCCCTTTGGCATAATGACGCAGGAAGGTCCCTGCCTTCAACTACTGCGTGCGCTTTACTGTGTTGCCCTCTTATATTTCGCTACAAAACCAATCTCGGAACTTTTTGGTCGCATTTCGTACTCAATGTTTAAAATAAATCTGAAGAAACGGATTTCGGTTTCTCGTGTCTTCATGCTTCTAGCCATACCTACACCTATGACGATCAGTGACGCACCTTGTGCGGAAAGAACTTACAGCTATCTAGCGTAGGGTTTCCAAACCAGAGACATCTCAGGATTACGATCGAATGTATCGTGGGCGAAACAAAGAAGGATTTCGGGAGCAAGAACCTGGCTATCATGCACTCAACTGTGCAGTTGAGTGCAGGACAACCATTTTTGTTCCGACGACACACCGACGTGTCATCTTTCAGGGAACAGCGCTTGCCGAAGCAATGTATGGCCGACCAATAGCCCCTCGATCTTAGGGATCAGCTACAAGCAAAGAATGGGAAGCTTCGAGAGGCGAAGTGGCGGAACAACATTCGGCAGGATGCTCCAACTACTTGAAAAACCAGCAGGACTCCGTCATGGTTGCGGGTTTTCCTGGGACCGATGAGCATTCGGTCATTTCCAACAGTGAGACGACAGAAAACGTCAACGCCGACGCTTGGGCCATATTTGACACCGACGACTAAGGAAAAGAGCCGTGAAGGTCGAAGAAAGGGAGCAGCTCTCTTCATAATGAACCTAAAGGCCCAAATACCAAGCTCATCAATAAAACGAAAACACAAGAGGGCGCAAGGCAAGACCGCCACCATGGACAACAGCGGGGACGTCCACGCAGACTTCGTCTCAACTACTGGACGGTGCGGTGCAGTTGCAGCATCAAGCAGCCAGCACATTTTAAGATACCATGTGCTATTTGACCAAGGATGGGGAGACTGATATGTATCCCATGGCAACGAGGACTAAGATTATTGACGTAAGCATCGAGCACGCGACAACGAGCTGCGAGAATTCCATGTCAGCAGTGGCTAACTTCACTTTCAATCGTAAATAAACTAGAACACAAACGTAACATTAAAAAGAAAATCGAATAAATCGACATCTACCTGACAAATCGTTGGATCGGTAAAACTCGCCTCCGAGATGCGCATCATTAAATAGCCACGGTCCGCCCTCTCTCCCAAACCGGTCACACGCTCCGAGCGCCAAGATGCATCGGTCTATAGAGAAAACGTCTTGATCATAACTGCTCGTGGGAAAAGTAATTACGTCTATCGATTACTGCGCTTCAACTTAGGCAAATTATCGACTAGCATCGCATCAAGACGCACTCGACCCAGTTCAAAATAAAGCTCGGCAGCGCTAATTCTGGAATCGATTCGCGCACCTGCCGTCCGAAGCAAAGATATCGCCGCCCAATCAGCAAAAGGGAGCGTAAGGACGCGCAAAGGAGTGAAAAATATGAAAGATGGCATGGATCGATGATTCCTCCAGACTGTCATCTCGCTAACGTTTTCTCGAAGCGAAGCGCAATCAGTTGACCTTTCGGGTTGTGTACGTCTAGACTCTCAGGCTCGACCGCACGGAAGGTTGTCAGGAACTCCCCCAGGCTTCGTGCTTAATTACATTATAAATGCTCACGGCAGAAAGAGATATTAGTGTGGGCACTCATATTCCCGCACTTTAATGGCCAAAAACAGACGGCCTAAAAACAACACAACGAGAGAAAAAAAAAAAACGACCACCTTCAGCAAAACATGAGCGCCAAACCGAGGCTTCTATATAAGGTTATTTTTAGAGTTCTTCCAGCTTCCAGTGCATTCGTGATCTGTTAACTACTTTTGCGAATCGTTTCATAATCGTTTTTTTTTTCTACTTTTCCCGTAGTGATTGTGCCAGTAATTGAATTATCTTAAGGAAATCATTTTAAATAAACTTAGTAGTCATGCTTACTTTCAGGAGCCATCCCCGGATGATCCATTACGACGGACATCGAACAAGGAGGCGGCAGCTCTTTTGCTAAGATTGGGGTTAAACTATTTGTAGTGCAGCAACTTTCCACCGATCGTGTAGAAAGGCATGCACCAATACCAGGTGCAAGCCACAAAACTTTCGTAGAAATACCTCCCATAAAATCCGAGGTTAAACTGTCTGGCTTTACAGCCTATAAGTCCGCCAAGCTATGACGCTCACGACGTAGTCAAATAGTCAATAAATAGTTTTTTTGTCATTTAATTGGGTAGGAAGGTACCCACAGAAATAGTGCACTAACTCATCACCTTGAACTAGGACGGATTGAAATCGGTATGGATTTTTTTTTTTTTCAGTGACGCATTCAAGACACCAGGAAAACACCCGCTTTGCAGGGTCAACCCGATGTCGTGCTCTCGGTATCAACTCCAACTCTCTGCGATACCTCCCTACAAACAACGTGGCATGTCGACATATGTCGACTCACCATCGGACACACGCGGTACCGAACAGATTGACCAAGTCCGTGAACACAGCCTGTCAACGGACCAACGGAAGTGGGAATCGACCCCAGGCAACAATGCTGGAAAGACGCGCGCCAAGGTCCACAAATATTTGAATTGCGCAGTACACTCCCGCTGAAGCGAGGTGTATACACGGTGTTCGATTAGCACTTGCATTTGATAGGCAAACGGAACGGAATCGACTGACTTCCGGATTAAAAAGTGACCAATTTCCTACACTTTTTTTTTTTTTATAGCCGAGGATAATTTCAGATTCTTCAATGGGCGGGAGGGAGGCACAACGCGGCGTACGGCATAAAACGAAAGGCGCTTCGGCAGGTGCAGAAAACGCGCGAGTCACGGCATCGTGACGGGGTCGGCCCTGACCGAGGGGAGTCCAACGCGCGATTACGGACGCGGTTCTCGAACGAGCCGCGACGTCGACCAGCCGGACCCACCTAGAAGACAAGGCCTGCGCCTTTCCTGCCTAAACGTCATCACTTATTGAGGACTCACACAGCGGCGCCTAGCTCGCGTCAGCGGCGCCGCCAGCGCGTCTGTCTCACAACAAGCGCGACGCCAGCAAGCGGCGACGCAAAGGCTCACACGTCTGCGGCTTTGCGTCAAGCTTAGGCGCATCTGCCGCTTGGAGTGGGTCCCGGATCCACTAACCATGACGTCATGGGCAGGCCTCGTCTTTTAGGTGGCCCGACTGCTCGTGCGCCGAGAGACTGCAGCCCCGAAAGGAATGCTGGGGCGACACTGCGGACGCTGTTCCACTCGTGGGATATACGTATGTGGAAGGCGGGAACGGCTGGTCAGTGGGTCTTCGGATATTGCTATTGGGCTTGCGCTAAAATAATTTCTAACAAAGTTATTCGCAGGGTTACACCTTTCGAAATGTAGCTTTTGATAGAGCTGCACGTAATTTGCAAGATGAAGCAAAAGGCGGTGTCAACGGGGCTGCGGGAGTGTCAAGCGGGTACTTTCAGAAACCGCAAAGATGCTTTCGCGAACGAACGAGTTCGCAGTTTCGGTTTTGTCCGAACAACAAAGCTCAGAATAGGGCGTAACATTGCTCCAACTAAAGCCCCTCGATGGGGTTGCGTTTGTCTTGCAAGTAGCGTCAAATGCGCGAGTGCACGAAGCGCATGTCTCGAGCGGCCCTTGGAAGCAAATGGCGGCGCAGCACTGAAATGAGCGGGCCTTGGAAGCGAATGGCGGCGGAGCACCCGCTCACGGCACGTGTCTCGCGCGCTTCCACAACAATGGTTGGCGGTACTTGTAAAAAACGCTTTTATCAAGGGGCTTTAGCTCCAACAGATTCCAATTGCCAAAACTTTTTTCTTTTTTCTTCTTTTTTGGGGGGTTGTGTCAGACGATGGCGTTTCAAAAACAATGCCAGTATCAACCTTCGCAAGAGTGAAGTGCCTAGAAGCATGACGCACCTTTCGCGGCGCAACTGCTGCAGCAGGGAAGCGAGATGTCGCTCGGCCGTCGGCGAGCTTAGCCGGGGTGTGGGCCTCCGTTCGGCCCTGGGTTCACCCGAGACGCCCTTGAGGGGCACGGGGCTGGCTGCACCCGCCGCCGCTGCTGCTGCGAGGATGAAGAACACAAGGAGTCAAACAAGGCACAGAACGGTAAGGCGTTTAGGAAGGTCGGTCCGCCCGCCTTCTGTCACCGTACATGTTACAGAAAAAGCAAAATAGCATGTTCGAAGATCAAATAAAATCACGGTAAGTGGATACTTATACAGCTTGGGCTGTGTTCCAAATCTTACCCAAACGGATCCGACTTACTCCGGCCAGTCGTGTCACGTGACAACACAAATTGAAACACGTTGGACGCGAGCAGGTTTCAGAACGCCATGGTGCAAAACCCTTACCCTGGAGTAAGACCAAAAGAATTTTGTAACAAGGTGTAAAGTTGGGTGAGTTGGTTGATGGTCATATTGAATGGGTTAAAACAGCGCAAAAAAGACGAAGGACCAGTAAAAGGAAACACACAGACACAGCGCTGACTTACAACTGAGTCAGTTGTAAGTCATCGCTGTGTCTATGTGTTTCCTTTTACTGGTCCTTCGTCTTTTTTTTTTTTTTTTTTTTTTGCGCTGTTTTAGCCCATTCAATACGAATTTTGTAACACAACTTCGAAGTGTACCGTGACATCTTGTGTCGCGTTGTAGTGTGTTAGGAAACTGACGTTTGTCGCGTTTTCCGTCTTGCTTCTAGGTGGTTACACTTTGCTGCGATGAAGGCCAATCAACTCCCCTGTCTGTTTCTTTTAATCGGTGAAATGGAAGAGAAAGGTGAGACGAGGCAGCTACCATCTTGATTCTTAGAGAGACACACAGAAGAGAAAAAAAAAACGGCAGACATATGCGTTTACTTGAACGAAGATCGCTTTACAATTAAGAGGGTATGAAGTCGGGCAACTTAGGAAAAGTGATGTTAGCTTTGTCGCAAAACAAAAAGCCGCGAGGACGTCTATAAGAACAAAAATAAAAAAAAAAAGTCGCGCGTTTTATTTTGTTTCTATTGCCCTTTTCCCAGATGCGCGATGTTTCCAGGTGTCGAAACCATGCAGGGTCTCGGACTGGACGCAGGTTCCGGATAATCGCCTTTCGCAACCCTGGCCGTGAGCAGCGCGTGCTCATATAAACGACGCGGGGGACGGTTGGCATGGGAACGGATCGCCGCAGCGAAGCCTCCGGCGAGGAAACCGTCCAGGGCACGCCCAACGGGAGACATCAAGGTCGACGCCTTCTTGGCATTGCACGCCACGGATCCCGTATACCACTACGGGGCAGATGTGAAGGTTGACGTAGGCCGGGGGAGAGGCAAGAGCCGTGATCACGGCAGAATAGAGCATCACGTTATGATGAGCAAAGAGGCGTGATGGCGTACCCGAGATCGTCCAACGATAATGCGTTTGTTTTCACATCGGCTCAAAGAACTGAATGCATTCCCCCAAAACACCTGAACTGGCTTGCTGTACTTCGTTTTACCTTAAGTCTAGACGCAGCTGATGATACCAGTTGATGGGAAAAATCAGAAAGCGTCAGAAAGGCCCCATCATGGTGTTCGTCATGCGTGTTATTTCATCGCTGAACCAATCATAGACAAAAAAGGCCCAGTGACTTCCGCTTTTGACGCTGCTTGATAGGGCCCATTAGCTCGTAGCGTCGGCTGCGTCTGGACTCAAGGGATACTGAACCGAAATTTCGAGCTCACAAAACAAGGCTGGATGGATAGGCGGGACGCTGCAAAACTCAAAAACATCACTCATATACAACGATATCTCTAACGGATCGCCGTGTTTCGGAAAAGAAGTGCGCGATTGAACACGGCCGACGTGACGACAAGTTACATCACGATTTTTATTCCCTCTCCTCCTCGCTACGTCCCGTCGAGCTGGTGAACCGAAGCTAGGAGGAGAGAACCGAGTCCGCTTCCCCTCACTCTCAAATTTTCCAGGAGGCCAGTGACGTCACAGCCCTGGCTTGATCGCGCCCTTTTCCAAAAGTACGCCGTTCCGTTTGAAATGCCGATGTATGAGTCATGTTTTCGAGTTCGTAGCGTCCCGTTCAACGCTTCTGCGGCCTTATTTTGCGAAATCAAAAATTCGGTTGAGTATTCCTTTAAGCTGAAACGAAGTATAGAGTCAGCGTCTAAGAAGCGCCTGAGACTGTGTGAAAGAAAGCCTCACCACCAAAGGTAGCGCACGAGCGGAGTGGCACGTGAAGTCGAGTCTCCAGAGCTAGCGCGCCCCAGGCTTGGCAGGCTTTCTTTCACACGCGGTCTAATTCTAGCAAGAGCCGGCCCTGGAACTCCTCTTGGACCGCTGAAAATTGGGCGAATTGGTTATGCATAGTTACGAAGAGGGAAACAGCGCCCAAAAGACGAACATACATCGGACCATCGCCTAAGGGCACGTGTCACAGCTCTCCAAGAACATGATTTCCTTATCAAAAAGCGCAATCGAGGGAGCACTGACGCACTCATCCTTATACTTCGAAATGTAATAGGCCTCGAATATTTCACGAGTCGCCTGCTGACTGTGCCGAGCAACAATCGTCGTATTTTCCAGAAAAGGGGAGCACCCACATCTACCAGAATGAATGGACAAATTACCCGAAGGTGGAGATCCCCATCGAAGTTCTGAGCCTCTGCCAGACTCCAATGTCGGTGGGTGATGCGAAGAGGGTCACCAAAATTCTACGATCAGAAGCCTGGAGACGTTCGAGACTACTGCAAGAATCGCAAAAGGTACGGTGCTATTCCGTTACCAGTGACAATGGAGCGGCGTCTCGGTTGCTGGAGAAGTGCCTACGAGAGGATGCGCAGAGTATACCGAGTTCTTCGGCAACGTGTCAGAGTGTCGATTGTGGCTACGAAAAAAAAAAAGAAGAATGGAATGGTCCGCAGGAACGTTGTGCTGTTGGGGGACGTGTTGAAGGTCCTGGAGAAAGGCCCCAAATTCACCACTGAAGCGATGGTAAAGCCTCAAGAACTGTTGTCTATGGTTAGGAATGTTGCTTCCAAGGCGGGGGAGGTCGACAGAGACAGATGCATTTTGGAGAGAGCCGAATCCTTGCCCAGGGTGTCCAGTGCTCACAACAATACGTCTAATGTAGGTAAGGTCGTCTCTTACTGCTTGGAGAAAGAGTTAAAGCTAATGCTTACTGACAAGGAAGGAGGTTTTGCCTTAGTGTCTGAAGGTGTCTTTTCAGAGAAAACGGGAGTTGCGAATTGTAAGAACTTTAAAATGGTTCACAAAGTGAGTTCGAATAAAATTAAACAGAGGGCTATCCAGCTGTGTGAAGATCTGGGTCTTGACAGGCTTAGGGCCTCAGTCCAGAGGGAAAAGGGTCTCCACCTGACTTTGTTTTTTTACGGTGAAGTCACACAAAGAGTCGATGCCATTTAGCACCATTGTGGCGCAAAAGGGTGCTTGGCAGATACATTGGGCATCTTTTTTGAAGAGGCACCTTACATCCCTCGAGCTACAAGACCCTTTTAGGGTGTGTAGTTCGATGAGTGTGGTCAGTTTTTGACTGCGGAAACCGCGGCTCATGTGACGCCGTGTCTTTTGACGTTGAAGATCTGTTTTATGCTATTGCGCACCAGGAGTTATTCGGGGCGGTCCAAGAATGTGTTGAGTCATCTGTACGAGTGTCTTTACAGAACGCCTGCGGTGCTAGCGTAGAAAATTTCTTGGAATTGTTGCGTTTTTATCTTAGGTCTGTGATGTTGTGCATGATGACACACTGTTTTTGCAGAAGCAGGGTGTATGTATCGGGGCTAGCGTTGCTCCAGTTCTGAGTGACATATTTTTTTCTATGTGCGATAGAGCTAGCGAAGTCGGTCTAGGAAGAGAGGTGATTCGTGTTTTTAGATACGTCGACGATTATCTGATTTTATTTACGAGAGTATCTGGCGAAAGTAACAATGAGTGCATCAAAATCATGTTGTGTGCGTTAAAATCCAACTCATGTGGTTTGAATTTTACAATGGAAAAGCCAGTAGACGGAAGGCTTCAGTTTTTAGATATTAATTTTAGCTTTAATGAAGATCATGTGTGCTGGCGGTACTGGCCGAGAACAAAAAAGGTGTGCTGCCTTTTGACTCTAGCCACCAGAAGTCGGCATTTTAGGTCACCCTCACTCACCTTCCCCCTCACAGCCACACTCACCTAAGCCCCTCACTCACCCTCACCCTCACAGCTACACTCCCCTTCAGCCCCTCACTCACCCTCACCTTCACACTCACCTTCAGCCCTTCACTTACCCTCATTGAACCTTTAGGTCCTCACGCCCCTCACGCACTCACGGCCCTCACCACACTCATACCCCTCACGCCCCCCACGCACTCATGGCCCTCACCGCCCTCACGGCCCTCACGGACTCATAGCCCTCACGCCCCTCACGCACTCACCGCCCTCACGTACCCATACCCCTCACGCCCCTCACGCACTAATGGCCCTCACGCCACTCAGGCCCGCTTCAGATGGGGCAATTTCGCCCAGAAAGTTGACGTCGCAACACGGGCACAAGCAGCAACCAATTGGTGCAATTTGCCATCATCATCATGAAATTTTATTTTTCTTGCACTATTTAGACACAGAATTACGCGCTATAAACGTGTTTTTATGCATTTAAATCTCGTTGAGAATACTAATGCATCTTTCTGAAACAGTTTATTTTCAAAAACAATAAATTTCAAGCCAGAACCAAGTATTTTGTTGTCATCATCATCGGCACGAGGTATCACGTGAAAATATCGCGTCCCTGATTCGATGCAGCCGCTTCAAAAGTCTTCGAATTGCTCCGAGTTGCTCGCTTGTTTCGAGCCGGACCTGAACTCAGGGAAAGCTAGGGAACAACCCACCAGCAACACCAAAATTGCTAAGAAAGTGGCTCCGTATGAACTTGAAGAATGCCTCACACACTCACCGCTCTCACGCCCCTCACGCACTCATGGCCCTCACGCCACTCACACACTAACCGCCCTCACGGCCCTCACACCCCTCACGCGCTTATGCCCCTCACACCCCTCACGCACTCACCGCCCTCACACACTCATGGCCCTCATGCC